ATTTATGTCCCGTCAAGTGCAGACTCCTACTTGTAATCCTGGAATTAAATGGTAGAATTTTTAAACGGCAGCCTCGGGTGTTTTCTTCTGCTGAATCCAATTATGGCATTAGAAGGATCCCCAGGTCACTGGTTGTCCCCATTTAGAGGGACATTCTCTTTTATGGAAAACTGATTTTTTTTTCTCCGTATAAAGGGACTTCTCTGAGTTTAGGGACAGTCTCTGAGTTGTGATGTGAACCTCTACAGCCTATTAGCATTAGCCATCTGAAAGCAATAATACATCACCTTCATGTCAAAAGTCAAATTAACAGGATACAAAAATGTACATGTAATCATGTGTAAAACACTTAGATTTTTTCAGACCAGTCTCAGAGGGATTGAGTACACATCCGGGCAATTTGTCATTTTATGTGGGGACAAATTTCATGGCTTTCTTTGTTTTATTATTCAGGACACACAGAGGATGATGCTGAGTGTGGCACTGGACAGATCCAGTGTGCCAGTGGTGAATGTATTGTGGTTCGTTATATCTGCAATGGCGTAGATGATTGCACCGATGGCTCAGACGAGATGGGATGCAAATATGGTGAGATGACTGGCCAGTGATGTCATCCAGGGGGAGGGGAGACTAGTCCCTCCCCAGGGTCATGTTAAAAGTGTCAACATTTTAGAAAAGATAATTAATATGTACATGTAGATTATCGCCTTCCTTTAGAAGGGTCAGGATTATACAGATAATTGTCATTGTCAATCAATCAGAAACTATCCCCCATCTTCAAACCTGTGACTGGGGGTTGAATTGTGACTTTCCTAGACAGGTGCCCTGTACGGTTGGTATTTAAGCAGTTCGTCTGAGTCCATGGAGTCTGTTGATGCATTGTGCATGCAGTATGAGTCCAAAAACTGGACGCTTTTCAAACTGCCTTCTGTTTTATTTTGTAGCATTGTTTACAAGACTTTTTACATATGTACATCTACAAAGTTTTTAGAGCAATTCTCCCTGCTTCTTTTGGTGATAGCTACATGTACACAGCGTTAGGTTTCATGCATGACTGGAAAGAAGACACTTTGATGGGTTTAGGTGAAATCAACCACACAAGGCTGGATCAAAAAGAGACAAACAAGAACTTCCTTTTTTAAAATTGTATGCTCAGTTAAAACATTTGTGGAAAGTTCATCCATACATGTATTTCACAATGTCTGTCTTCCACATGGCCACCGTTTTGTTGAATGAAAATCTGGGCTTGACACATTCCTGGGACAACATGGCAAATTATCTGCTACTTTTTGCCAGAGACTCTTGACAGAAAGTTACAGTTTTTGGATTGGGCTATGCTATTGGAAATAGAAATTTCATTGGACCTTTCCGCTTGCAATGAAACATTGATATCGTATCGTTCGTAAAAACACATATCGGGATATCGTGCAAATCGATATGCCAAAAATTATCGCGATAAGCTCCAAACGATGTACTGTACATGCACATAGGGAAGTCAATGCACCGTGTGTTTAGCCCTGCATGCATTACTGCATTTAGGCCACACATATACTTCATGGAAACCTCAAACCACAAAGACACTGTTGGCCCCAGCAACTGCAATGACAGGTAAGAAAGGTAAGCAGTTAAAAAAAACCCTAAAACAACACGCATTGCAGGTAGATGAAAGCTTGGGTATTACAGGTACATGTACCTATATGCAAACCTTCTAAACTGGAACCCTGCAGTAAAATGGTGATGTACATTTATGCAGCTATGTAACAGCCAAGATTTTCCTGACATGCACACCAGTGCATGTACTTGTATGTCTCTTGTATTGTAGCATTTCTAATGGTTCCAAAATCCCAAATACATGTACATGTACATACTGTAACTACATATACATGTATGTATGCATACATTGAAAATTAGTACTGTTCTCAATAGATATGTACATGTGTACAACTTGCACCAGCATAAGTACTTATAATATATACGGAGTTACAATGTATTTACTTGAACTGTGGATGTTGTTGGAAAGTTGTTTTCTTCCTCGTTTCAGTCAGAATTTTCTAGCACACTTGGTACAGGAGTGCATGTATACATGTACAGCATGTACAAATGCTCAAACCTTTTGGCTTAACTTTCTGTCTGCTACAAAAGAGCACAAATTCAAGCCTGTGGTTGAGATATTTTCTATTTAACTAATTATCATGCTATCAGAATTCTCTCTTCAGTTTTGCATATTTGTCTTGCACACGACGCAGAAATGACGAAACCTTTCTTAACGTTCTGTCTGCAATTCAAGCCTGTGGCTCAGATATTTACCATTTATCATGCTGTCTGAATTCTGTCTTCATGTTTGCTCATTTATCTTCTATTTGCAGCCACAAATGAAAGCAGCAAACTGTTTCCATTCAAGCTCTATTCTAACTGGGTTTGTTCTTTTTTTTCATTCACTTCTCCTGCCTACTCAGACACAAATACTCCCCCTGCACACTCCTCCCATGCCACTAGCCCGCCTAAAGTAGGTCCCACAGCTCAAATCTCAGTCCAAAATGATGAGGATCTAAAGATACCTGAGAAATTGGACTTGGGGGAAGTCAGGAGCAACCTGGCAAATGAGCTGCATGGGCAGGTAACACAAGAGAAGCAGGTGTCATCAGAGCCGCAAAATAAGGATACGAGCTTGAATCCAGTTGATGGAGAGAGCAAGAGCAGTGTGAAGGACAATGGCTTTGGGGAAAATACAAATGCTGGTCCACAATATGCTCAGTACAACCTTGATGCAGGTAGTGTGGTGAACACCAGTGACAAACCAGGAGAGGTTCCTTCCAGTGTTCATGATTCACAGTCTGACAGCAGGCCACGCCCTGAAGCCCCTGATCAGAGAATGGTGAGCACACCCTTGCGCCCCTTACCACTAGGCACTGCAAAAGAGCACGATGGGTTCAGTCAGGGAGATGTTGAACAGAGGAAGTCGGGTGACAAAGATCCAGGGGACAGAAATGGTCAGATGAATGAGAAGACTGAGCAGCTAGGAGACCCTGACAAGCCTCTGTTATCCCGACCAACCAATCCTCGTAACAGTCAAGGACAGGACCAGGGATCAGAGACAAGGTCCCAGGATAGTGACAACCAAGGCAGTAGGTATGATGATACCTCCAAGATACTTGATCAGACTCCGAGAGGTCTTGGAAATAGTTACCAGTCCATGAAACCAGGCCATGCAGTTCAAAACCCTGGGTATAATCCACGGGGAAATGGCAATCCGTCCAGAACTGATGCTGACAACAGCCTAGGATTCTCAGATCACGACAGTGATGATGGCGATGGTATCCCGTATTTTTATGGTGACAACTACGGTGTTTACCGTAACAAGCCATTTGCCAACCCACCAGATTACAACTACCCAAATGAGATATTCAAGGACCTTACTAATCCTGGTCAGAACTATCCAGATCTGTATGATGACGACCCCCTGTACCCTGATCTCCAGGAGACTGGGTATGATCCTGATCAGATCAACTATCATCGGCGTGACCGACTCAACAGTAAATATGGCGTGCAAGGGAACAAGGATGTTCCTCCAAGGCAGCATCCCTACAATGGGGGCCCCGATAATTGGCAGCAAAGAGGAGGCAACAGTGGCATGAGGAGTGATGTAGGCAGAGGGAGTGTGCCACGTGTCAGTGGAAGGCCTTACCAGGATAGGCCTGGACCTGATGATGGTACTGCGAATGACAGGCAGCAGAACAGCCCTGGTACCAAGTGTTGTAGAGCATGAAATGTGTTTTATGTACATGTACATGTAGATGATTGATGGATGCCTTGTGTGCATGTGCTTAGAATGTCTGGATATTGTGAATAGTGCATGCATGCCAGGTGTAATTTCAGTGCACTGTGTTCGGAGTTTTCTTTTATGTTTATCATATGTACATGTGAATCTCATTTTGCATACTTGTACAGGACAACAGGTTCAATATTATTACCAACATGTAAACATTAATTGTTCTGTCCTGGATTTTTCTTTAATTAAGAAGCCCGTTGAGGCTTACTTACCTGTACATGTCTGTATCCAGTTGTTAGGACATGTGAAACGTACCCTCTGCAGAGAAATTACTGTAAGTTCTACTAGATCAAAGTGTGCTTGAAAAATATTAAATCAAAAACTTCCAATAGAAACTGCATGTCTGAGATTGATTCAGCAGGGCTTCATTGGTCACATAAAAATGATTATAATGTTAAGTGACTACGGTGAACCCATATACATTACGTCTGTATATATATATTTATGCATGTACATGTACCGGTGCATAATAGATTCACACAATGTGTGTATGCAGATATACATGTCCCCGCAACGGGAACATACACTGTACACTCAACATTTCACCTATTTTGTGGGGACCACAAAGGTTGTGGGGACTCAGAAATGTCCCCACAACTCGGTTCAAATTTCCCTAACAAAAGAACTTGTCCCCTGAATGTGGTGAATTAATGCCTACCCCTGCATACACACACACCCACATGCTTTGTGTACCATGTGGGTGTCGTATGTACATGTATGTGCAGGTACATGTACTGTACACGTTGTATGTGTTGTACCTATGCACATGGATGTACATGTATACGGTGTTTGTATTTCAAGAAAAAAGTGCCAATGATTTCTGTATTACCAACAGGTAAAGTGCAATGTACAATGTCACAATCATATGTTTCCATATATTAATTGAAACTGAAAATCTGGAAGTCTGAAACCACATGGATTGCCTGCTTCTTGTAGTGCTCATTGAGTATCCACACTTTAGTGCCCAAGCAGATGCTACGCCAATATCAAAATGTGATTGTCTTGATTTTAAAATTCAAATGAATCATGTGTATACATGTGCAAGTCAAATCTGCCTTTGGAAGGTATGATACATGTACATGTAGCGTAATGAACACATGGGCCTCCCATAGCCAAACCCTAGTAAGGTGTGAATGCATTCCAGGCAAACTTACACTTTGTGTTGATGCTGTCACTGAAGATCAATTTGTCAGAGCCACTTTTCCTGGAGTATAACTCCTGTCTATCCACCCTGTAGACATGGTAGATACATGTACATGCCCACCAGATGTATTGCTGCACCAGTCACAGCAAACTCTATGTAAACATGGCGTCAGCTCACAGACACAATCACAACTGTACACCAACATGTATATTGCACATTGTACTATCCTTGTAGTTAGTGACTGAAAGTGGAAGAGAACTTGATCCGCAAGGTTTGGCTAACAAATAAGAGCAACAAAGACAAGCCTAACCTTGCTGCACATGAGCATGATGAGTTTCTGAAGCACATTAACAAATCCACTCAGTGCTTCTCTTTCTCAATCTGTCACTCGCTCCTGTTTTTTGGTTGTTCTTAAATATTGAAATCAACCTTCATTTCCAGTAATGAGAGGTGGAAGAAAACTCTTCATCTGTCCATCTGTGACAGACGGGAATAAGAATGGACTGAAACTCTGTGCATGTACATGTACAGTACATGCATTGGATGGTTTCACTGTGACTCTAATTTATAGCCAGATGCCACATGCTTAGGGCAAATTGAATACAGCTAGCATTGTGGCCCCTAGGGGAAATGCCAATATTACTGGTGGTCCTAAATACCATGTTGTGTATTTCATTTTGCATGTATAGGCATATGAAATTCCAAGCTACGGTACATTGCCCCTGTACTTTTTTCCCAGTTTTTCTTACACATTTAAGTACATTTAACAAGTGTACACCCTCAGTGGTATGTAATGGTGACAGTGGCAGCCATGTTCCCTATTTTCAATGTACATGTATATGATACAGTACATGTATATTGACTTGTACATGTTCAAGAATACCATTATGATTATGTTGAATCAGTGTTTTTATTGCATGTTCATATACATGTAGGCCTGGGATTAGCTATACGTGTACATGTACATACATTTACATACAAGTACAGCATACATGTACATGTACATGTGCATGTACAATGCAGCATTTTACGGTGGCATGTGTAAATGTTACATGTATTTTATAGCATTTCCTTGGTTTGAAATCATAGTGTACATACATGTACAATTTACATGTAAGTACATGTATGTTTTATGTGTACATGTACATGGTACTGAGTTTTCAGTGTTAAACATGTGGTATGCATTTGTATGAAGTGAATGTACATGTACCAGGTCCATGAAATATTTCCTGAGAACAGGCACAACATGGGAGCCAGTAGTACACGTATATGAGTGTGTGATTTTATGAAGCTGTGTTGTATAATTAATCATTGGATTTGATTTGTAGAAACTTACAGTGTAATGTACATTAGGCCTACCATGCATTGTACAGTGTTTAGTGATGTGCACATGGTGCTATACATGTACATTTCTGGAATCTGTACATGTTAACATTTAATGTTTGTACTGCTGTTGAAGCTGAAGTTCATACAGGCTAGAATGTGTGAATGTACATGTACATGAGCATGTACATGTACATACCACATTGAATTTTGTATACACATGACTGAACATGTAAGCCATGATTGCCATCTGGTCATGTCAGTTCCAGGCAACAGTAAATGGACAAAATACTTTATTCAAACAACCATATCACTGGTGGGGTTGGAAAGTGTGGAGATTGAGCGATCCTCTAGACAGCATATGATTTAGAATCAGTTACACTGCAAGCAATCCTTAACCCCACCCCCATTGGGTATTGAAGTTAAATGTCATGCGCACAATTATGTGTGTAAAAGGCCTTAGGGCAAGAACCAGTGCGTGAACCATCACATGCACATGCTCCATTTGTTTGAAGTGCACTTCCTGGTTCTCAATGATGTCACACTTCAGTACTCTGTAACACATCAAAATGTAAACCGGACAGCAAAAGAAACTTGCCACTTCTGTCAAAGGCCACACATAAAAATGCACTCCATAGAAATAAACAATTTTTGTACACAGGTATGTTTCAATACCCCTTACTAATCACATGCCCCAAAGCAAGTGATTATCTTTATAACAAAGTAGAAATTGACATGCACAACAACTTGGTTACTGTATCAAAAGTTACAGAATGTAACAGACAGAAGTGGTAAGTTTCTTTTGCTGTCCAGTGTATGTGTACATGCGCCCCAATCGTGATGATTGTTTGTGTCGTAATCAATGTCAGTTGCTTAAGGTGCATTCATACATGTGCGTTCATAGACACTTTTTGCTGTGCCCAATAGGTACTTGGAGACATTGGAATGACTACAATCATGGGGACGATGGTAATACATACCAGCCTAGAATCCAAGATGGTTACAACCACAATGGCAGAGATGGCAAAGTAGAATACAGACCCGATGAGGCAGACAGTGGGGGAGCCAGGGGCGGGGAGCAGACTTCAGAGGACTTTGTGGACTATGGAAGTAACACCAAAGTTGAAGGGGACAAAGAAACTACAGAAGATGATGATGAGGTGTATATAGCCACTGTAGCTAAAGGTACAATACTTACATGTACATGTACATTGGCACAGAATCCTCATTGGCAGAAACATTTTTGTATTGAAGTGAAACAAGCTGTTGTGAAATACATGTAATTGATCTCACGTTAAATATATTCCATATGTGTACATTGTACCTATGACAGTTAGGTCTTATGATCCTAGGTCTTCAGTGCTTTGTATTGTCATTCTACTAACATGTATACATGATCTGTATCTGCCACAGAGCATGATGAGTTACCAACTGTCCCATCAGTGCCAACAGCTCAGCCCCACCCGCCTGCCACAGCAGAATCCAACAGCTTCCACACTGATGGACGTCAGTCATCAGTGGTCACCACCACCAGGACAGATCATAATGAGCAGTCAGATCAAGACAGCAGTAACAAGGTGGAGCCATTTGGCAGCCACCCTGCCACCAGTGCCATCCTCCCCTTGGCAGTGGGCCTGATTATCACCCTGCTGCTTCTGATGATGTTGAGTTGTAGGCTGAGGTATATGAATAGGAGGTTGCGCTATGGACGACTGAAGACGCACGCCCACGATGCAGACTATCTCATCAATGGCATGTACTTGTAAACATATTTCAGTTGCAGTAAGTGAAACTAACCACCATTTACCCAGAAAATAATTGTTCAAATCAATTCTCTGAAGATTCACTTTGAGCTGTGATATCCAGGTAATGCTCTGAGATTCAATTAAAAAATAAAAGTGGCAAGTTGTCTTGCCATTCTGCCTCAGATGACATTGTTCAGGGGGGGATCCAGGAACTTTTCAGTGGGGGGTCAAGCCAGAGATGTGTTTTTAATGTCTCATTTTTGCGGACAAGCGGAAACGATGATGAATCATTACATGAAAAACATTGTTTACAATGGTTAATAGCAGTTAATAGCAGAACCTTGGTCCACCACTGTTTTTATTTTTTGCCCATAAAAAACCTTTTTGTTTTTTTGTGTCAGAGTACTAGATTTTTCTTTCTTTTTTTGACCCACCCAACCCTCCTCCCCTTGGATCGCTGTCTGCTCAGAAATACTAACATTTGCACTGGTATGAATTTAAGGAAGCCCCTATAGACCCTTAGCAATGTTATATATTGCTAGTACCAGTACGTACATGTACTTGTAAGAAAATAGTCACATTCCACTGAAGCGATTTCCAGTTGCAAGAAACATGGTTTTTTCTAATACTCGGTTTCATCACAAAGTGACGTACATGTATAGTATAGTTTTGTTGCACCACGAAGTGACATACCATCCATAGACTTTGTACACTCGATACAAGAGTTTGTTGTACAGCAACTAGTCACAATACAGTAGTTTGTGATGCAACCGATGAATTAAGTGAAGCCAGTGTAGAGTTCCAAACTGTGAGACAAGCTTGACTTTATAGTTCATTCAGTGAGGTGAAGAAGTTGCTGCTGCAAATGGACTTGTTGCTATACAGTATGTGGCATTCTTATTGGTATAAATATAGACTAGTGTTATGGGCTTTTTCTGCTGTGACAAAATGTACGTTTGTACTTTCCAATGGGAACTATGAAATTTAGGCCTGCATTATGGTATTTATTTTGCACTGCACAAATACATAGACGTAAGCATCCATCAAGGCATACATGCATGCTTCAAGAAGTTATTAATGAATCTGCCATGTACATGTACGAATGTGTTCATGCATGAGTCCACAGTTATACATTGTATTTGATGATCAAGTTTATCGTAGAGTACTCTAAGTGATGGCTGTATGCATGTATATAAGTTGTTGTATTCATGTTTTAAAAGGGTGTTACGTGTAATTTAAATATAAGGTTTACTTATTCCTTCATCGATTGTACTTTCTGTTCTCCCTGAAAGAAATGGAGCAATTTTTATTCCTGAAAAGTACTGAAGTTCTACTGAAATTCAGCATTGATTGTATTCCCAGAATCTTTATTTTAGCTTTATTTATTGCTCTCTGAATGTTGGTTCCAGTTTCCACAAACGTTGGTCTGTGTCATGGAACTTTATATTTTGAATGTCTTGTGTCTGATAAATTATGGAAAATTTTGCATTCTGGTAATGAAATGAAACTTTGTGTGAGTCCCATTATAATACAGTACTGTTTTAGTAGTTTGATACTGCATGATGTGTGCAAATTGGTCACGTAGGCTAGCATACATGTAGTTGTCGGCTTGTATTTCTCGTGGATACCAAAAACACTACACTGGAGATTGTACCGGTTAATGTTGTCTTTTAGCATTCTTCACTCGTTTGTATTACTGTAAACCAACCTTTACCTTGTGCCTACACATGTATATTATGTGTTGACAAGAAGTTGTCATTCAAACGGTACATGTATCTTCAGACAAAAATGACACGTACATGTGTTACATACATGTCATTTTTAATAATAACAAGAATTGGTAATAGGTTCGATACGTACATGTGTTACATACATATCGAACCTATTACCAATTCTTGTTATTGATGCATGAAGACTTGGGTAAATGATGGAAAGTTCTTTGCCACGTGTATGCTTTTTCTAAATGTATTCAGGTTTCACACCAGGATTGGAAATACGTAATTGCACTTCCTTCTTGAAAAACATTCAGTACCCACCTTTGGTGGTTGGTCTTGTTGGTCCATATTGTAATCAAAGTCATGTTTTTATACATGTAATTAAGCATATATATAGTTCACCGTGCTTCTTGTCATGATGTATTTGTTTATTGTGCGGATAAGAACGACTTAAAGAATGGAAAAAAAAGTTGTTATAGGTAACTGTGCATCCTATATTTGTACATTTATATGCTTGGATCACAGCGCATGGACGAATAAACATCCATCTCACCAAAGATCTGTGTATTACTGTGGAACAAGATTTTTGTTTCTCTTTATTTTTGTTCTTTGGTTTCGTTTAGTGGGTTCGTAGTGTTTGTTTTGTTGTTTTGGGTTTGTTTTGGGTTGTTTGTTTGTTTGTTTCAGTTTGGTTTGGTTTGTTTTTGTTTGTTTTGTTTTCATTTCTCCAGTACACAACCTGTGTTTGCATATCATTCGCCCGAATTTTCAAGAACAAGCCATCTTAGTCTTGGTTCCTGAGCCAAAAAAGTACTTCTTTCTTATAATGAAAGAAATTATTGGGATAATAATTATAATCGGTGTGGGGAAGTTTAGAGCTGTTAAAAGAATAGAAAAATACCGTCACGAATGTTTGAGATTTGGTTTTCTTGTTTTGAGTTTGTTGAAGAGGTTCAAAACCTATCTGCTCAAGAATTGTGAAACAAATTTCTGGCCGCAGTATATTTTACGGATCAAAAAAATTTAAAGGAATACGGGCGATTCGCTGTAATGTCAAAGAAGTTCATCACATGCCAATACGGGCGTTTCACAATAGTTCACCTCTAAGAGTTTGCAACAATGCGCAATGTGACCAATCACAGACAAGGGAATTGTCAACGTAGTCATCATACCTAAGTTCTGAGAGTGCAATATACACTGGTAAAAATACACCAAACACACCAACAACCCAACAAACAAACAAACAAACAAACAATATGAGCCATAAATGTGAACACCTTTATTGCATTTCACACACCTATAAATACAGGTTGATTGAACATCCTACAAAATATGCATACACATTTACAAAGGTGGGATAGAATAAATGCTACTGTGCTGAAAAGCTATTTTTAACACACCAACTTGCCAAGTAAAAAGTACCATAAGTTGGACTTTGTGTAACGTGGATTCCATAATAATCATGAAAGGTTTGAAATAAATGATTGCAATCAAATCGAAAAAGATTGTATTTTGTGGATTACCCTTCCTTTATTGCTGGGAACAGTGCATTGTCTGATTAAAAATGTGGTTCTCCGAACGATCGTAAGACCAGACCATTAAAGGGAGACATCGGTGTTTTTCATTTTTGACAAAGACCCCTTGCCTTCAAACCAAGTTCTTCCATTAAAAAAAAAAAAACTTTATTAGAAGAGGTAGAAACAGAGCCTGAAAACTAATGCCAGGTGACACGCTCCCGGAACCCTTGATTAGGAAAAATAATGTGAAAACAGTTAAGAATTTGTAATCAGTTTTTAACTCATTTGCTTCTTTAAAATATCACTGCCAAAAGCACCGATCACCCCTGTAAATTACTGTTTTGTTATTTACTGAAAGTGAACAAATGCCAGACTGTAAGAGGACTAGTGCCAAAAACTAACATCTCAAACTATTTTGTTGTAATTTGGTAACAGAACACGAGATCAAAATTAAGTTGCATGATTTATAATTTTTAGAAATAAATTTGAAGGGAGAGCATTTACGAAAAATTCTAATGCCTATCGTTGTTGACGGACAAGAGTTGTATGAGGCCATCCCGACTGAATCTGGAACTCATCGGCTGTAGGTAAGCAAATCTTGGCGCAGTTATACACTCTCGTTCTGCCGTAAATGCATTATGATGTAAGTAAGCGTAAGCCAGTAAAGCTCCTGGTAATTTCCCAAAACGTTACATGAAGAACACAAACATAAACTTCCGGCATGAGCGTTTGTAAAAATTAATGGACAACAGTTTGGAATTTTGAAGACGAATGTACATTGGACAGGCTATAATTAGCTACAGCATTTTGGTCAGCGTGACATTCCTGAATTTCACCCCTTCACCATCTCGAGCAATAAAGCTTGTAATAACACAATGGTCATGACTTACAGATGGATGGTGTTTCACCACTCTCATAATGTTGTAATTATGCACCTTGGTTGTCTTTGCCCTGTATACATAACTTTTTTTAGCCATCACGACACGGATCCATCACTCACGGTAAAGTTCTAGATTAGAAATGGAATAGGGGATAGACATGCTGCAGAAAAAGTGGCGTCTTAAAGTGTTGCGTATTTTCCAAGACCAATGGTCCATATTTGTTGTCATCCGTGAAATAATCCCCTGGGAGAGCTGGTTATACCATTTCTAAATTGATAGCATTTTAAAAACAAAATAAAACGCACACAAATACACGTTTACCTCCCATACCTACTGTGCTCGTGCAGTTAAGAAAACTCGGTGAAAATACTCAATTTTTCTTTGAACTTCAGCCGAATCTTTTCAAAAATGTCCTCCTCCCTTTACGACGGATTAACATAGCCCCCAAATGCCTCTAAACCCCTTTTTACAAAAGGACAAACGTCCTGTGGACATGGGTAAGTCTACTCGAACGTCTTTTCTTCCGGCATCGTGTGTACATCTGTAATTTTCTTCACGAGTCCATACTAGGTATGTAAGGTTAGCGCACAAAACCGGCAAAGTGTCACGGAGAGAGCGGGTAACCCCCTCCCCCTAGCCACTGCATAGAAACCTTACGAAGATTATAAGATAATTATCACTCCAAAACAGTGAACATTCCTCAATAATGGATCATTGTGTGGTAGACGCATATCAAAAATACGATAAAACTTCTATGATTTGTAAACGTCTTTAGAAAATATAGATGCTGAAAAAGTAAAGAGGTCCTTAGGTATTGCGATATAGGCCCTAAAAAGGACAAAACGATTTTTTTTAAATACCAAAATTTCAGGCACTCGTTTTTGACTTTTAGGCACTGGGAAATTGTTAAACTTAAAGTCACAAACATATTATGTAGATTTGGGAATGACTCGTTTAATTTGGGTTTGCAAAGGGACATTTATTTTACAAGACTTATGATTATCTCTTTCACTATAACACAACACTCAAAGCAGTGGCGTCTTGGAGAAAGTCCTCAAGAGGGTTGTTTGTCTATGACAAAATAGAATCCTCGTTCCATTCAGGTTCAATTACAAACTTACGTTTGAACGTAACAGCTACAATTTGCTATAATTTGGGAAACTTTTGTAACATATTGTTCGCTGTGGTTCTGCCACTGATTATCACAATTCAAGTTTTGCTTTTATGATCTATTTTCACCGCCCCAACTTTGCATTTACAATCCAACGCTTTTACCGTCCCAACATCTTGCTTCCACCAGCGTAGAGATATCGCTTTTAACTTCTTCAACTGAACTCACTGCATTCTGTCACTCTGCGCCTTAGCAACGCTTCAGATCCCTTGTAGAATTCTGAACATTCAATGGTGCCAACCCAAGCCACTTTCGGTGCCTTGACTACTTCTATTTTTAGTTATATTTTGAAAAATGGAAAGTACAATGTCCACACACTGCAGGTATTAGGAAAGAAGGCACGCGGGTTCTGTACAGTGACCATAAATAGTATTGAGCCCTGATTATGTATAAACTACGGTTTTGATTTCAATTTTTGACTAGATACATACTTCAATTATTTATAGATATATCAGTCACTTTGCCTGGCTATGTTGGAGCCTGCCAATCTTCGTCTTTGCGACAAAGCGTTTTTGTATTTTTCTATTACAGCTTTACACCCAAACTATTAAATACACTTAAAAATTCAGACTCCCAGTTTTCTAAAAAGTAGTTTCTGTTATTTACAATATTGATCCTGCTGAGCCGGTATCCTTGAATCTTTGAAACATTCATACTAGTGCGTACAAAATAGATTCGTTTCAACAGACCAGCTTTTAGAATAAGCCAGTTTGTATTTACTGCATGTACTTTACAATGGAAAGTAGGGCAAGGGTCATTTGTACGTAAAACAAATCGCTTCACCGTGAGTCCTGAGCGGGCGCCCTCTTGTGACATTCGCTGGTTAGTGTAGTGATTGTTGGGTGCGCGATTCAGCCAGAGCTTCGATTTTGATCAATTCTTTGATTAATTTTTTTTTTACCATGGATGAAAGTAAGCAAAATATTTCAATTGATGAAATTTGTCTCTGGCCTTGGCCTGATTGAAAGATTCTTTAACAACAACATATTCCACATGCTATACTTGGATTAATTAACACGTCACCAAACTTTGTATGAAATTACCTGACAGTTTAAACTCGTACGTATTTAAAATTTGTTTTCTTCCATTTTCACTTAATTTTATCGTATCTTAAAGATATGTGCACAACCCTTATGAGACTGCTCTGAAAAATTCTGTTTTCCAAAAAATTATTGATTTTCTCACAGCTAAATGTGACTTTTTAGGATATGTAATTACTTTCTGAGGACTAATAAGGCACTACAGGGGAAAACTGGTGACATTTGTATAGAAATCTTACTCATCTCCTTTCCATAAAAGTTACAGAAAAGTTTATTTTGGGACACTATTCAGTGTTAGTTTTTTAAATGACCGTATGGGATTGTAGATTAACAGAATGTTCATATTGTTCTTGGTTCCTCCCTACTTCGTCGTCAGCATCCTCCCTATTTCAGCATCTTCTTAAACGGCGATCGTCCGTATCAAATGCAACCCATTTGCGCACACACAAGCTATACGTAAATGATTTCGTTTATGCACAAATGACCTTTGCAAAATTTCATTCGCGTATGCACAGTTCGTAATTACGAACTGGCTTATTGTCGGTACAGTTTCATGAACTTCTTGCCAGATTTCGCCTGATGTTATTACTAGTTTGGTTACGATTCACAGAATTTCAAATGCCAAAAGAAATCAGGCATTCATCACTAAAACAAGGCCTACGTATAATAATGACAATAACTCCTTCGTCACATCACTCTCAGTAGTGTACAGTCCGCCATCTTTGATATTATGCCGCGTCTGAATCTTATGGTTACTGTTCCACTTTTACCTTGTCTGTGTCGGGAACAGCTTACGCCGAATTTCAAGATCCGAGACGTTTGCAGGAAATTTGTGACATCTGTGAAACTGCTCTACTATAAAAGGCACACGAAGAGCTTTGATCTGTTCATAAGTACCACTAATAAACTGAGAAGCATGTTACCAACGGATGCCTCTGCATCGGTTCGAAAAAGGGATATCTGCTTGCTGTTTCAACAAATTTCAATTCAGGTAAGGCTCCATTGGGAGAGGGCAAATTATGGAAATGCGTGTACGTCAGACGATGCTGACCACGACAGGGGCTAGATCGCCCTATTTCTAAAAGAGTTTTTCCACTTTGTCCGACCCAAGCATCCGATATGTACTTCAAGGTTTTTTAAAAGCACTTAGGATGGATCACAGCTGCTCCGTGTTCAGCATAATCCCTGGCGGAGACACACCGCCCCCAAAAGCCGTCGTGTGTTGCCACGACCGAACCACCGATCCAGACACTGTTGGTTCGCTCCTGAGGCATGGACACGGACCAGGGCATGTGGGCTGAAGCTAGCTCTAGCTGCACGCGATCACCGAAGCCTTTGAGTTGTGTGTTTCCTCCTGAAAGAAGGAGAGATTTGCCGATGCCAGCCAAGACTGTTGGATCGCACCTGAGGATGACATGTCACAGGAAAATTGTCAGATGATTTTCTGATAGGCCCATATTTGTGTTGACAACACAACAAAGTGAATGAGTCCATCAGAGATATACGTCTTACCTTATAAATCAACCGTTACTGAGATTTTATGTGGTCCTAGTCACCGAACTCTTAGCCTGTATCGTCATAAAATATTCTTTCACCGATAACGACAGGTGAACAATATCAACGTTTTGAGTGCTGGCAGGGCATTAATTCTCACGCCCATTAGCTAGTGCATCTTTGCAAATACAAGCATCGTTAAAAATGTGTCAGTATGGAAACGTAGGAAACAACAAGATTTTTGTCCGAGTTAAAACTTAACGGTGTTAAAACTTATTCCGATTACTTTAAATGCAAATGCGGTTACCGCTGTCTCATTAATACTTGTGTTATTATTAACTAATGATTCTGTATTTTATGATTCTGTACAAAAGGCAAGTGACCATGCACTTTGCTCGCATTTCAGCGCCAGATTATACCAATGCTAATACGAGAAAACAAAGCACACCAGAAAGCAAAACGAAATGGCGAAATCAATGAGTGAACTACTGAACAAACACTACCAAATCCGAATAAAATAGTTAGCACAATGCTTCTGGCTTCTTAAAGGATCCAGGAAATGATTTTTCTTGGAATCACTTTTTGTGTATCTCTGTACTCTTCTTCCATGTATGAAGACTGTTTGACATCTTTTTTGAGTTACACGAACTGAACCGTGCACTATTTCAAACATTAAACATTGACCAAGCATTTCTGGACAAGTGAGGGCGCTTTTGCTTTTATGTAAATCCAGGAAGACATGGTTCATGTTGCATGTTTTCTTGTTCAAATTGTGAACTCCAAATTTGCTATCTGGGAACATTTCTGTGAAAAGGTTTTTTGCTGAATTATTGCGTTATACTTACACAGCAATAAATTGCAAAAGAAAATGAAATTTGCCATGGCAGTGGTTAAAGAAATATACAAATTTTCTGTGCATAAATCAGTGCAACATTGAGATTCGGTGCCTTGGATGACATCATATTTTGCTCATGAATATGCAAATATGCATAAGCATAAAAACCAAAATATGGGTTAAAATTGCAAAACAAAAATTTTAAAATGAGGTTAATTGAAACCCAAAGAAGCAATTTCAAGGGTTTTGGGTAAAATTTATAAAAATATTTCTTTTTCCTGGTTCCTGTAACTCTACCGTGCATGATCTTGAGTCTTGGACTGGTCTCTTGTCATTATTTAAGCAAACGGATGCGTGCAACGATTTACGATGATCCATCAACATTTGTAAATTCCAAATTAACCAGCAAGTCGCAAGGTTTATTAACTATTGTTTGAATCAATTATAATTATTTCCACAAGGTTGAATGTACCTTTTCAGTGTTTCCTGAATCATGTCGTGTATACCCGCCTGTTGCTCCAAGCCACTAAAATCTGGTTTGAAGAGTTGTTCAGTGCATCGGAAGAGATGTTTGCATTTTACCGTAAGGGAACTACCGTCAGGTAGCTTGTACTCTGATGAATCGAGACGGCTGATTCGTTCCATCTCTCTTTCATAGTCTGAAGGACAGTTAAAGGGAGTGAAGAAAACAATAGAGAAGATGAGAGAACGCATATCGTATCTCATTATTTGCTCCCATTCCAACCACGACAAGGACTGAGATCAAACTACATTTGCCTTGTAATTTTTTTATTTTTTTCTTCTTTCTGTTTTTTCTTACCCATGCAGACGTACGCCATAGTTTCTTTGATATTTTTGAGGATGTCCAGTTGAGAGGGTGACGTCAGATTGTAGTCACTGTCCGGTTGGAGTAAACGGCCAAGATAGTTGGTAACTTGGCTGCCGGCGACTTTCAGCTGATATGGAGCATATTAAACACAATGCCCAATGAGTTGGGGTAACCTTTTGTCAACCGAAATCACTGAACTGCATGGCAAATGCACTGTTTCCTACTGTTCATTGCTTACGGAATAATGATATCATTATAATGTTTAATTATAGATCAAACATATTCCGCATTAGACTAACATTTAAATAGATACAATGAGCAATCGTTTGTTTCTGATTTGGCACTTTTGTTTTGTTGAAAAAAGCTAGAAATTCGTTCTAGATATCCAACAAATATCCCATGGGAATTTCAAAAGATTTATCGAAGGAAATCTTTCAGAGAAACCTTTTCAAGCGTACCGTTGTGACAGCATAATGCATGGTGTAACCATCCAGCACGGGGACTACTTCAGTCAGACCTCCTCCGCTACTCAGCACGATGCCCGAGGTGTCCCCCTGGGCATGAAGAGCTAAGGCACCTTGGTTGACCAGGCACAGCGAAGGCACTTGTAGTTTTTCAAATAATATCTTATAAACGGGAGAAATAATTTGAATAAAATCCAAAAGCAAGTTCGAAAAATGCTGCCAGACTCTGCCTAAAAGTAGTACGGAAAAGTATTACTTAAGTCCTTACACTGATAAGTGCTTGTCATTTTTTTCTAACGTTTTACAATGACAGTTGAAGCTAAAATAAAAGCAAAATTTTTGACAGACCAAAACTAATTAATGCTTATTATCAGTACCGTTACCCGGACCAACATCACAATATTTCGTTTATGAATCCCTGAAAAACATTCATTTTTAGAAAACCAAATTTGACAAGGAAATGCTTTTCTTTGTCCGAATGTCTGAAAAATTGAAACTAAATTGGTTTCTGTTGAGCGTAGTCTAATGTAGTCTGATCACGATACAAACTGCATTCAGAAAACGACCAGAAAAAAATGCAGTACTTTAGTTGTATAGGGCAGAGTTTGCATAGTTCTCAGTCCAGCTATCTCGTTGTATAATTACCTCAACCAACTTCTCTCGCTGCCTCTTGGTCGTGGATGCATACTCACTGAGGAGTATGGGATGTTCTTGAGGTGCAACATTCAAGAGTGACGTAAACACATAATTCCAGATTTGCTCCAAGTCCTCCCAGTTGTGAACAATACCCTCTGCGTGGCAAAAGAACGATTCCAATCATTAGACATGCAGGGCCTCCATGCTGACTGAACCGAAGCCGAATTTAACAGGAAATCATTTGATTTAGTAACTGGGTTTTTCCCAACCAACCTTCAATGAAGAAGCACCTTTTATGAAGAAAAAATGGACTCACCCGTTAATGGATAGTAAAAGGACATTAAACCAGCCCGTCTCGTTGCATCGTGGCCGACGTACGAAGCTCTGCACAAATCGGCTGGATTTGTCACATCGCCTCCAGCGTACCTCCCAACGACCGACGGGATGGTGTATCTTGGCTCAATGTCGCCACTAAAGCCGACTTTAAGCACTTCCGATCCGTTGTCTATGACGACGGCCGCATTTTCACTGTAAGTGGGCGAATATTGTAGCGACGTTCCGGCTGTTTGAGAGCGATATGGATCAAAAGATATATTGAAAGAAAAGATATAAAGATATATTGATATATTTCAGATCAAGGAAAAAAGGAGACAAGAACAAACAGGAAATAATTTTCATTAGGTTAAAAAGCATGAATGAAGGTTATAGATCGGATTAACGATGCAGGAATCAAAAGGGAGTGGGAAAAAACACCCAGATCAGAGAGTAAGACAACGGGATCAGCACAAAGCTTAAAGTACGTCTTCTCTACCACAGTCACAAAGCGGTAACATACTTGATCGGCATACGGAACTGTAGGTATAGACAGTCAACGTGTGGAACATTTGAAGTCAGCTTGTTTTTTTTTTTTTACCTGAGTAAGAGTCACTGTGTTGACGTTCAGATTGTTTGACAGTCCGCCCAGTGCCATGGACTACCTCAATAGAGTCGGAGGGCTTTATTCCGCTTTGTTGTAAGGATAGATCATCGGTTCCCGAGACACTCATGGGTTTGTCATCCCTGGACGTCTTTGGTTCCATCTCATAGAACTCAATGTCTTCACTAAGCTCGTGTGCTAAGAGACTGCGCCATGTGTTTGCTGTATCAAACATAACATGAGAGGCAGGTGCATTGGGATAGTAGTCTATGAGACTCACAAGTTTCGCCATTGCTAGGAATAAGACCTTTACTACAACTTGACTGACTTCACTTAGATTTAAAATAGGGACATGGTCCTATCGGTTCTGATTCTCAAAATTACACTTTTGATTTTGTGATTTCTTAAAATGCAATATCTTTGCAGATATTTTTCTGCGGTCACATTGGATTACTACTTTTCAATGTATGGTTTTACCAAGGATCAATAGGAAAATATAAACATGCAGGATTTAAATGAAAATATAACTTCCTGTTGAACTATAATGATAGAAATATATTACTTTGTGCACCGAATGATATATTTGCAATGTCATCATCGTCTGACCTTACAAAGACAATTTGCAAGTTGCTTTAACGCCTCCCAAAATACAGTATTTGCAAACAAAAACATTAAACCAAACCAAAATTTAAAATAACATAAAATGTTAACCAAACATTTGAAGTATTTTAAAATGTGCAAAAATTACCATTGCCGCTGTCAGGCACTTCTCGGTTCCACGTTTGCTTCACATCGGCTTCTTTGCTTTCTCCACAATCTCACATTGAAAAGAATTCATACACGTCGTCAAACGTAAGCATATTCGTGACAGTTGATTGTTTATTTTATTTATGAAATGTTAATATCAACAAGCTTTCTGGCCATGTATTTTGCAGTATCATACTAGGATTGAAAAATATCTTTTCTTCGAAAGGCTAGATGAGACGAATGACGTAAGAGAGCTGCTTGGTTTCGAGATAATTAAGGTGATATTTTTAAAACCACCATATTGAGACGTATGTGTGATCATAAACTAAAGGTTCACACTGCCCAATTTTATAGTCTTATTAAAAAGGTTATGAAAAGTCCATTTGTTTGCATGATTTTATACTGTTTTTGCCATTAATTTAAATAAGGATTTTCAGATTTTCAGATTGTGCTCTTTTAAAAAATATGAAAAAAGGTCAGACGGTGTATGAAAACACCCTAATATAAAATTAATGAAGTGATAACCAACTGGACTTGATCGATACAAGAAAAAAGAAGGCAAGATTACGCTACAACTTTTTTTTTACTCGCCACGTTATCAGTGATTCCTTCAGTGCACATCGTGCACAGTGTAGGTGTTTGCGGTGCAAATCACACTTTTTCATACAGGATTTTTATCGATCGTTTACCCAATCAATTTTTTCAGGATGGGAGGTGAAGTAACCCTTTGACAGTGTGGGAAAGTTTTTAACATTTGTGCTTCTTTTTCCAAAGTACAATTTTCTTTACTTATTTTCATTCAATGATCAAATAATGATGTCGAAATAGTGATTTACCAGTTTCAACTTGCAGAAAATGTTATGACCACAAGCGGGCAAATGGTAAAGCGTGTTGCGATAATCAACTTTATATACCATGAAGTATTGGCAAGGAAACATCTTTAAAGAACTGGGGGGGGGTTCAATCAAAGAATGTGAAAACTACAATGAGGGCATAATTTGTAAACGGCTCTGGAGAAAGCCAACAGAAAAAGAAAGTTTTACTATCATTACCATTGTGAGTTTATTGATGAGGTTTTTTTCCTCTGGGGATGTTGTTTCATGAGGTTTCATGAGTAATTTCATGATATGTGGCACTGGGGTAACTGTTTACTGGCATATCTAGCAGGGAAAAGGGGTACTTCAGTGGAGAGAACATCTTGTTATTCATTCTGAAGCTCCACTTCGTAAAACAAATACTAGCAGCACGTACCAACCAACCCTAGCCATATTTAGAGGAATTACATGGACGAGGATTGAGCCACTTTTTGAAAGAAAAAGTCCACATTTGTCGCAAGTGATGTACTTGTAAACTTCCCAAAGGCCATCCTACTTTCAATGTCAAATTAGGCAAAACGGGTGAACAGCACATGCATCACTTAGGTAGTATATATCTGTGCATTTTCCATGAGTAACCCTTTCTAAATTAACACTTGTCCCACGTTTATTAGAATATAACGTTTACAGGTTGGTTGTATCAAATGAAAACAATTATTGTTCTTTCGAGTATGGCGCTCAAAGCAGATTTTATATTCACCCTAAATAAATTATATACCTTGTGCCCCTGATTGGGGCGATTCAAAATACAGTGCTCCACCAAGAGGTTGCCACTGAGAGGTTATTTTTCAAATCAACTGTCGCAATAAGATTGGCGCCGCAGAAAGAAGAAAGAATTCATTAAAATTGCTACTCGAAACACACTCACGAATCTTCTTTCCTGAGAGACTTTAGGAACATTTCAAGTTTCCCTCTCGCAGCCAGCGAACAGAATTTGCAGACCATTTCCCACACCGCGAAAAACTGCCTCTTCGTGGCAACCTCTTGGTGGCGCACAGTAATTCGAATCACCCGTATTAGATCACACACCCTTTCAGTAAAGGACACAAGGTTACCTGTCTTACTATGAAAGAGCATTCTCCGAGGTTCTTACCATTCGAAGGAGAATCCTGTTTGTGACAGCCGGAGTTGTAAGGCCGGACCACAGAAACCACAAAACGGGAGCCATTTTGGACCTTACTGTTGCCATCTGCATGCTGACAGGATTGTAAGAAGCGACTCTTGGCGCTGGTGGCCTGATTTTTCTGATCCTCACATGTACAATCTAGCTTGCCGTCAACTTTTGTCTCCAGTTGTTGACAATGTGACCTGTCTTGTTCATCTGATGAGTCCGACTCCACAGAGCTTCGGACTGTCTGCACGAATAATCTTGACGTGTGTATATCTGCACTGTCCTCTTCGTACTCTAAGAAGCGTGATTTGATACCTTTAAAGTCTGGAAGTTCCTGGACTGTGGCCTCTTCTGACAGGTCTGCGCTGTGGTCATGTGAAGGCTCGTCGTCGCCTTCAGCTGTCACCGACAGCGACTGATCTACATCCGGCATTGTTTCCATTGAATCCTCTTCAGACCCGTCGTTTACCGATGAATCAGTACCGGTATTTGGAGCTGATGCCGTGACCGATGAGTATTTGTTGCCGTTTGAATCACTTGAATCTTGGGTACATAGCACAGACAAAACAGCTTTGGCGCCTCCTGCTTCAAGGAAACGCTCCTTGGCACTCTTTCTCCCACTTTCAGACTCCAGTGCTGAGATAGGTACAAAAGCCATCCTTGCGTCAGATCCCTCTATCTGCATAGGTTCAAGAGGGGACGGATGAACCCACCCCTCAGCTCTTAAGAGGTCACCACTGTCGACAGCGGCAGGGGAAGACGAGTCAGGAGAGTCACTGTCCTCTGCATCCCCTTCTGACCAGGCTCGACGTGGAGTGGACAGCGAGATGTCATCCTCGGTCACCATTCTTGCATCGGGAATGTCCATGCTGAAGTGGCGAAACACTCGAGGTCTCTTAGGCGCGTTCATGCGCTCGTGATCGAGGTCGTAGCACCTCTCCACTTCGAATTCACGAGGAGATACCTCGGGGGAAAACGAAACTGATTTCTTCCGGCCTGGTCTTTCCATGCTTCCGCTTCGCTTTAGGATTGATTTGGCACCAGTGTGCTTTCTTTTGACACCGTGGCCGGCACTACAAGGTGGAGAGGGTGGGGCACTCTGTGAGCTCTTTGAGCACGGGGCAGGAAGTATAGGGGGGATGTCCAGACTCTTTGGTCTGATTTTGATGATTTTTCGGATACAAGCAGTTTGCCCATTATTTTTGTGGTCTTCGTCAGCTATTTGTTCTTCAGAGCCACTGAGCATTAATGGTGGAAAGCAAACCTCGCCTGTAATAGTAGAAGGGACATCCAAACTGTGCATTCTCTTGCCTTGAATGTCATCCATTTTATCTCCAGCCGTGGATGGCAGAGATGGCGGAGTAGACACTTGGCATGACGCAACTCCCGATTCATCTCCAGCCAGCAAAGAATGTGCTCCACTGGTCACACTCAAACCCTCGCTCGGCCCTAATATCAGAGGCCTATCAGAACTGCCAACAGCCATTTCACTTACCCAAACGAACGGGGTATGGCGATCGCCGCTTGAATCTGCAACACCTTCCGGATAAGCCTCTTCTCCTGCAATTACTGGAGGAACACCAAGGCTATGCCTTCGATGTCGTTGCAACCCCTGCAGAGCAGAAGAGTCTTGCTTCTCCGTAGTTACTTTATCATCCGGTAAAACTTCAGTTGTAGATATTGATGGCACGTTCGAAATGTCTGGACTGTCGTTAATTGCTTGTTCTTTGGCAACAGCACCACTTTCGGCTGGTGAGGGCTCATCTTGTGATATCATAACGGTGTTTGACTGACAAGCTGCATCAATAGGATGCCAATGGGAGTCTGATCCAACTACTGCCAAGGAGAACTCAAGCCTGGATATTTCTTTGCTCGTCGATTCCTTCAACTTGCTTGGGGGAGGCTGAGATGGAGCGTAAGGTCCGATAGGAATGATTCTCTCTTCAACAATAGGTTCGACTTGGATGGAAGGCACTCGTCTCGTTGGGAGTAAAGTTTCCGTATGAGGTTCGGTCTTGTCTGCCAGTTCACCTAAGACAAATTAATTTATACTGTAAGTCAGAAAAATTCTTGGTTAATGATAACGCAGTTTTTGTATTTGGACCGAGCTTGAACAAGCGACGGCGTATTTTCCATCACATCGAGGATCCTTTCGTGTGAATTCACCACTTGCGTGCACAGGCTCATGAATCATTGTTATAGAGGTTTTTCACGTGACGTAATATGATGGGCAAAGACATTCAGGAAGCGCACCATATCCGTGGAGACGCTTGCCTTTTCGAATCTGTGTATTTCTATCGACGATTTCATGTACGTCAGAATGTTGAGAGCCTTCGAAGGCGTGCGCGTTTCCGCGTACATCTGTGTTGAATTGAATGCTGACCCTCAAAAATAACGTGATTGAAAATCCTCTTCAGAATTATTCTGTGGTATAATGTACGATCAGCACTTGTGCGCGTAGTCCAGATTCTGGCCGTAGTTTTTCGTTTCTTTCACCACTCTATGCAAAACTTCATACACCTACATGTACGTGTGTATACATGGAATGACGAGAGTGCACATCTCGAACAAACAACGATCGTCGAAGGTCAAAAATTAATTAGTTAATATGAATACGTATGTTTGTCTGCGCGTAATGTAATGCTTATCACGTATGTAATAATTCCAGAATTTTCTGATCAGCTCAGACCATAGCTCTATGGCTAGGACACGCAGTGTGATATTTGTGGGCAATGCTGGCGTACAAATTGACATTTGTCCCGAAACAGAGATATTTCTACCTCTTTCTAATAGAGATATCTTTATGTTTAATAGAGATATTTCTATTAGAAATAGAATATCTCTGACTTTGCACGCCTAGAAAACTGTTTAGGGATTAAATGTCAACTTTGCACGCAGTAGGCAATGATAGTTACCCATCAACTTAAACGTATACGTTCAAGTGGCCAACCTTACAAATGAGTTCGTTGACAATCTTTCATAATCAGTGAGGTTACACATGAACAAGTTTTTCTATTTCTTTTTGTACATTCGTGAAAACACGTATTCAATTCAGGGTGCAGCAAATAGTGCAATTGCCACTCGGGCAAAGCCAACATGAAATGTCCAAACACGCATTCGCGTTGTCTAACGTGTTCCATTCAAGCAAGCAACGCTCGTTTTGCATTTTACGCTCACGTTTTGAAACTGAAACGCATTTTGCGTCAAGTAAATTACGTACGCAACATGTGGGCGCTATAGAGCAGGTGCTATGTATACCGTATCCGGTTAAACAAATGCATTTCGCATGATACGTGACACCCGCACAGTGCTCAGCGTATGTGTACCAATCATTACAACTTTAGCAGCGTGTGGGAGGAATACAGTTCCCCCAGAAAATTTCCATAGAAGTTGAGCAAATGGACTCGACTGTGTTCGGGACATAGAAATCATGAACTAGAGGGGGTACGGGATACGTAAAATTGTCTAAAGACGCACAAGCAACTTGAAACCCCGCGGACGCCTACGCGGTCGTGTGAAACGCTCACAAGTGCACTGATGAGACGACGCACATCTCAATGATCTTAGAAAAGTTTAAAAAGCTTTAAGCGCGCAGAAGACCACGGACTAAACCGCGTGTGCGCGTAATTGTGTACGCGTGAACAATGCAGCGTAATCAAATAACAAGTCGCCCTGTTATGGGGCCAAATTTGCGTAAGAAAAAATAGGCCTCGGACCTCTAGCTTTACTATTACATAATCTGTATTGTTTGGGATCGAGACTCTGTGTATGTAACTGCCCTCTATCGGTGGATAATACACTGCCATTGTGCGCAGGCTGGGAAAACGCGCACAACACGAACACAGACGAGTGTCTGCTAGGCTTGCGCACGAGCCCCGTAGCCTGCCTCTTCTTGCAGATCAGGGTGCACTTCAGCTCGAGACGAACATACTGAGATGATTATAATAGCGATTAGAACCAATCGCTATTATAATTCAGTATTAGTATAATTAGTATAGCATAATTCAGATGTTTTAACGTTGCCAAAACGTTTCACCTGAATGAACATTACTGATGTAGTTGTAACCTTTCCCCCATGTTTAACCTCTGCACTCACAGATTGACAAAAATAAGAAAGTCGTCATTATTGATGAAAAACCCTTAACGAGTGTAGCATCTCAGAACACTCGTGATTTTTACGAAATGTCTTGGAAAGGCTTAATGCCACAATTCAAAAGCTGATCGGAAGAAAAACACATCTTCCATTCTGTTTGGTAGCGGGGGAGGTACGTGACAAACCATCGAGATACAATGTATGTAACTAATAATTGATGACTTCCTTCCACCGGAAATGAGCTTAAGATAATCATTAATACAGTATTAAGAGAATTGCACCCCTTCACCCCAGATCATCCCGGCCATGAATCCCACACACGCAGACATGCAGAAACAAACTCTCACACCCAGACACAACGCCATGGCACCCTACATTATGTGGACTTCTTTTGTGCAGAGGTCCACACTATGTCTGCCACGCCTACACACAAAAGTCCAATGGGGATATGCTATTGGTATTCACAAAAAGGTTGGGTATTACAAAGAGACCGTGAGTGATTTAATTTCCTCTAATCGTGGAATAACAAAAACATGTGGATAACGCGTGAATGCAATTGGAGGCTTGCAAAAGACACATATTTCAACGAGGCTATAGCCGAATTGACAGGATAAGTCTCACTGTTTCCGTTCCAGAATACAGCACTTCGTGCTCTACAATTTAAAACAGAAGAACACGCATTTTCTAAATAGCAACGATGATCGTTTAACAACTTGACACTGATAACAGCGCAGCCCGTATCCTTTCCAGCTTCGTTGACGTCATCACAAACCCCGGCTAGGGGCAGCCCTTCCTCATGCCTGGCAGACGGTATGCACATTGTCAAGTTGGCTTTGGCTGTTATTGAATAGTTTGAGATGTTTGAGGTTGGACCAAACATCTCAGGTATTTCGATTTCTCTTATGGATGGGTTGTCCGGTACGGGAACTGTTAAATTTACAAATTGCATGAATAACATTTTTAGCATCACTCCATAATAAGTTAAGTGGAACTGTATACAGTACAGTTCAGTTATGACAGTGACGATTTTATCTTGCAAATTTAAGCACCCATTGCACAAGCACCCCTCGGAGTATTCCGTTTATTATAATAAGGATCTTTCGGGAACCAAGTATTATGTTGTTGAAAGACAAAAGGTATTATGGAATGGTAGTCCATGTTGAGGTGAACATGCCACATTATAGTGAGGACGGTTGATGCTGGGGATAAAATAGACAGTAATGAGACCTGCAAATTAAGAAAAAAGAAAATGCCAACGGTACGACGCTTATCACAAAAGAAGCTATTCGGCCGCGTTAGAGTACCATGTTCACTTCTGTTTGAATAGCTTGGTATGCATGTTTGGAGAAACACGGAGATATGAAACTACCCTTTTGGTTTGAATATACATTTCGTTATCTTATTTATACTCGTGTTAAAAGAAGGGCCCGTACTACTTATCTACAACCGCTTTAAACATTGAGAGAAGTCTGTTGATGTTAACATCTGCGATCAATTTCATACCTAGAACGACCTGGTGTTTCTGGTCATGGTGAACGTGCGTCCATCTCTCGACAGGAGCTAACGGCAATGATTATTGGCAATAATGGATGGATTCGGATGCAATCTTAACCTCGCTTCCCAGCAGGATGAAATACGTCATAGGCTGTCGATGAATGCAACATGCGCTGCTATAGCTGCAAAGTGAACTCTGATTTTTAAATTGCGACGAGTGGAGATGTGACAACCTTTTTTATCATTTGGAAAACATGCGCCCGAGGGGTATCACCACAAGGACAGAATAGTGATACCAGAAACTACCAAACGCAGATGGGGATCTTATCTCGTGAAGGAAGATCTACAGGCCATCAAGGAATGCCATGACGTCATGGGAACGGTTCAGACTTCATCCAACTGTAGGGCTCTTTCGTCAATTAGGATGCACAGATGTAGAGTAAGTGCGACTCCACAGCTAGCTCGCACGGGTGAATTGTGCCACAGAGCGAAGTGGCAGCCCTGCTTGCTGCATGTGGAATATGACTGGATGGCCTGGCCTTCGACTGATATCAACTAAACACTTGTCGGCTTGACATGCGTTTAATTAACAAGCGGAAATTTCAGATACAAATAGCGGTGTGGAGGGCCTTTGTAAGAGCAATACTTGCAGTACCTATCGTGGAGAAACCACAACCGGAAACAGGCCTGGAATCTTGGAATGATAACTAGGTGATAAATCCGGCGGGAGATAGCCGACATATACTGTACATTTTGCATCACGATTTTAAAGGGATAATTTCTGTTCGATATAAGCCCGTGATTGATTGCAAAAACCCCTATTTTGGTTGGATTCTGGTATACCCCGACAGGCTTAATAAAACGAATCGTTAAAATGTGATATTATTGATTTGTATCGTTTAAACGCAGGGAGCAATTACAAATGCAGACTCGACGTGAATCACATTCTTTATTGTACATCAGAAGTTGGCTTTCGTTATCAAAGGATAAAATCCCGAACCGTTTTCTTTACCCTCAGTCACACCCAAAGTAATGTCAAAAATAAGGTTTGAGGATCGTACGGTCAACTGCATGACGTGGAAACTGAAAGTTGGCTTTTTGCAATTTGGCCACAAGGTCATTCGTTTTCTTGTAATTTTTATTGCTTCTTCTTCTTAACAAGTTCCAACCAAAAGCCCATTTACTTTGTATACAGTTTTCTTCGCAGCACTTTGGTCACTTCACAATCATGCATTTTCAACAATGCGTAGATGATCCTAGAACAATGATGCCACGATGACGCTATTTATCACTTATTTTTCAACCCATTGACATTTTAGCAAGGTTACACTAACCAAAGACCTATGCAGAAAAGATACCAAAGTAATGACGTCCCAATGACATCCTTTTAATGGTTTATTTTTTCCCCACTGCCTGTGTACACAGATTTCAAGGCGCATTTTAG